TTGAACACAATTCGTTTATTTCCTGTCTTTATTTTTATTGTTAGTTTTTGTTACAGAAAATTTTAAATATAAACAAAATCAGAAAGAATACCATAATGAAGCCCTATGCACTCAACAGCCAACTGAACAATTTTCAATTCACCACCAATCTCATGTTGGGTAATCACTGATTTGAGATTATTTTGAAGCAGATTCTAACATATATTTCATGTATAAATAATTCAGTAGATTTTTCTAAAATGCTAAGACTCATTATACTTTAAAATACTATTATTATACCCTTTAAAATACCATTATCATGACTAAATAAAAATCCCACCAATAATCTTTCGTGTCATCCAATATCCAATATTCAAATGTCCTCAATTATATCATAAATACTTACACAATTTATTTGTCTCCTAATAAGGTCTATCATTGCAATTGGTTAATATGTCTCTTATGACTCTTTAACCTATAGGTTCCCTCTTCGACATTTTTTTTCCCTTATAATTTGTTTGTTGATGAAGATGAATTGTATGTCCTATAGAGTATCCTGTAGTCTGGATTTTGCTCTGGCCAGTATATTTCCTGTGAATTGGCAGTTAGATCTAAAGACTTAATCAGATTTTGGGTTGATTTTTTTTTTGGACAATGAGCTTCATAGGTAAAGTTGTATACTTCTATCAGCAGGCACATGATTTCTGGTTGTCTTTCTGTTTCTGATGTTAGGAACCCCTGGTGATCACTGCCGTTGTATCTTATGCTGCTTTCTTCCTCATCATGTTGGTAGCCTGAAGTTCTCTCTCTAATAGATTCTTCAGGCAGAGATTGTGGAAACAGTATTCCCATATTTTTTAGCCCTTCAAAAAAAATCTTCGGATAACTATGTACTGAAACATAGTTAATTATATACTGAAAACTAAAGCCAGAGATACACTGACCATGTTTTACCTAAAAATCAGCACAAGTAGACTTAACAAAATGTTCATAAGCCTTCCATTGAATCAGGTTTGTTTGCTCTGTCAACTCCCTCTGACTGCAGGGTGCCCACTGCTGCCAGACTAACACATTGAGAGTTTCAGTGCATAAAGGACAAAGACTGTACACCAATGATGAACTCACAGAAAGAGAAACTGAAGAAACAATCCCATTTACCATCGCGGCAAAAAAATTAAGATACCTAGGAATAAACTTAACCAAAGAAATACAGGACCTATTCGCAGAAAACTACAGGTCATTGAAAAAAGAAATAGAGGAAGATATAAAAAAGTGGAAGCACATACCTTGTTCATGGATTGGAAGAATTAACATCATTAAAATGTCCATATTACCCAAGGCAATCTATAGATTCAATGCAATCCCCATCAAAATACCAATGAAATATTTCACAGAACTAGAACAAATACTTCAAAAGTTCATATGGAACCAAAAAAGACCCTGAATAGCCACAGCAATCTCGAAAAAAAAAAAAAAAAAGGACAAAGTAGGTGGGATCACAATACCAGATATCAGGTTATACTACAAAGCTTCTGTAATTAAAACAGCCTGGTACTGGCACAAGAACAGGCATATAGACCAGTGGAACAGAACAGAGAACCCAGAAATGGACCCAAGACATTATGCTCAATTAATATTTGACGAAGGTGGCAATAGCATACAGTGGAGTAAAGACAGCCTCTTTAATAAATGGTGTTGGGAAAATTGGACAGCTACATGCAAAAAAATGAAACTAGACCATCAACTTACACCATACACAAGAATAAACTCAAAATGGATAAAAGACTGAAATGTGACTCATGAATCCATAAAAATCCTAGAAGAAAATGTAGGCATCAAAATTTCGGACATCATACACAGCAGAATTTTCACTGATACATCACCTAAGGCAACAGAAACAAAGGAAAAAAGAACACATGGGACTACATCATACTAAAAAGCTTCTGCACAGCAAAAGAAACAAGCATCAAAATGGAAGGGCAACCCACTGTATGGGAGAGCATCATTGCCAATGGTACATCAGATAAGGGGTTAATTTCCAATATATATGGAGTACTCATACAACTCAACAAAAGGAAGACAAAAAACACAATTAAAAAATGGGCAGAGAAGCTAAGTAGACACCTCTCCAAACAGGACATACAAATGGCCAAGAGACATATGAAGAAATGCTCAACATCACTAATCATCAGAGAGATGCAAATTAAAACAATAATGAAGTATCACCTAACACCTGTCAGAATGGCCACCATCAACAAATCATCAAACAAGTGTTAGCGAGGGTGTGGAGAAAAGGAGACTCTAGTATACTGCTGGTGGGAATGAAGACTGCTGCAGCCACTATGGAAAACAATATGGTGTTACCTCAAAAAACTAAAAATTGAACTGTCATTTGACCCAGTGATCCCACTTCTAGGAATATATCCTAAGGAGCCTGAAACACCAATCAGAAAGAATATATGTACCCCCATGTTCACAGCAGCACTATTTACAATAGCTAAGATCTGGAAACAGCCCAAGTGTCCATCAGTAGACGAATGGATGAAAAAGCTTTGGTACATATACACGATGGAGTACTATGCAGCTGTAAGAAAGAAAGATCTCTTATCCTTTGAGACAACATGGAGGGACCTGGGAAGTATTATCTTAAGCGAAACAAGCCAAGCAGAGAAAGACAAATACCACATGATCTCACTTATTTGTGGCATATAATGAACATAACAGTCTGAGGAATAGGGTAGATCCAGAGACGTGGAAGTAGGGTACAGACTGACAACCCTCAGAAGAGGGGGTGGGGGAGGATGGAAGAGATAAACCACAGAACTTATATGCATGTACACATAACCAATGGACATGGACAACAAAGCCGGGGATGAGGTGGGGGGATGGGGAGGAGGGTTCAATGGGGTAAAAAAAAGAGAAACATCTGTAACAAAAATAAAATAAATTTTTTAAAAAAGAACACAGACCAGACACTTCATAAATCTGGCCCCATCCTATCTCTCACTGCATCCTACTAAGAAGCTTAGTCCAGCTCATCTACCATTGTAATAGACTCTTTCCTCCCCATAATAGCTACCACTTAGCTAAAAATGTGATTTCGTTTAATTCTTTTTAAAAATATATTTTTTATTGATTTTTTAGAGAAAGAGGAATCATTTAATTCTTATAACAATTTCAACAGGTAAGTATTATTTCTCCCCTAAAAGATCATTCCCATTTTATAAGAAATTGAGGCTTAGAGTGAAAAAGCCACTTATCAAAGTCACTGAAATGTTCAGTGAAAGCTGGGATGTGAAACCAGGTTTGTCCAACTTCCATATCCACATTTCTGTCACTGTGCTCCAATGTCCCCCAACAGCACAAACTGTTTTCTTTGTGGGCCCCTAAAGGTGAGTCCTCCTTCCCCTCCACAAGGCATGTTGTTGGCATCTTGGCACTGCTGTCTGGGTGGGTCCTGAGGGTTGCACAGCCCCTCCCTCTGGGCGTGAAAGCTCCTCAGAAAGAAATCCGTTGACAAACGAAGTGGTGTGTATAGGATTTGGGAATTATGGGGTAACGGGTGGTGGAGGTCTACCCAATCCCCCAACTCCCACTGGATTTGACCTTAGGTAAGGGAGAGCCCCTCTTTTGAGTTTGCATCCCACCTATGCCCCTTCGCCAGGGCTCTCCTTGTTGCTGTCCCCTCATCTCTGACCCAGCAGCCCCTGACCAGACCACAGTAAACCTAGACCTAGGACCAGTGGGGCCACTGGCCCATCATTTCACCCACAGTCTCAAGTTCCAGTGCCTGCCAGGAGAGAGGGGGGCTGCTCAGAAGGCATAGCCAGTATTTGTTGAAATCAGAAGGGGGCGGGTAGACAGCTGCCCACACAGCAAGGTTCCTCTGGCCCCTACTTGGCAGAGCAGACAGGAAATGTTTGTGTCCCAGTTGAAGCCCATTGACAACGACAGGGAGTTAACTGCCCTGCACCTGATTGAATAGTTTCAGTATTGGGAACTGATTTGGGGAGGCAAAATGCAATGGTTAGCCTGGCAGTCAGGAATCCCTAGAAGCCCCACAATCACAGCAGAGCGCTCACCATGCATAGACCAGTGCTTTACATGCGTTACTCGTGTAATCTGCACAGGAACCCCAGGAAGTAGCTACTATTATCACCATTTTACAGGTGAGGAAATGCAAACAGTAACTTGTAAACTTAACCAAGAACAACAGCCAGTAAGTACTGGTTAGCCATCTGTAAAACAGGGATAAAATGCCTGCCCATCACCTACATAACGCAAGGAGTTTTGTAGGCAGCCAACCCCTGTACATTGACAATAAATTGGTATTTTAAATCTGGAACCGTTACAGTTCTTCCCTTTCCACCTTTCTGGATATAAGAAAGACTTTTCCAGTGGAGCCTTGGTAATGTGGGTACAGAAAGTTCCTGGAAAGATCCAAAAGAAGCGGGTAAACAACGGTGTCAGCAGACAGCGCAAGTGGCTGGGGGACCAGTGTGGAAAATTTGCTTTTCACTGTGTTTATTAACAAGATATTTACATTTAATCTTAAAAATTAAAGATCTGCACAGTCACAGGTGTATCTTGGCTGGAGCTTCTGCTTCAAAGACGTCGTGCAGATAAGCAAAGGCCTGAGGGCGCCCAGTGGCAGGGTGGCGCCCACGATCACCAGCGATCTACAGGGTCCCTCCTCGCGACTGCACTAGGGTGGGCATTTTTAAATGCGGAAGAACGGGAGGAGTGTGCTCCTTGGCGCTGTGCGCGCCTTGATTCGCCCAGGACTCGGCCGTCCTCAGCGCACAGACTTTGGAGGGTTGGGACTTTGGAGGGTCGGGAGTCTCCCGGAAACCCCGCCTGGACCTCAGGGAAAAAAAGGCTGCCCGCCCCGCCCTGCCCAATTTAAGAGCCGTCGCCGACAGCCGGGGGCCAGTCCTGCCAGCGAGTCTGCCTCTTTTTTGCAGGGTGTTCTAACTCGCCTCCCGCGCTCCCTCCTTGCGCGTCCGGGCCAGGGCCGCGCCATGCCCAGCCCGGCCAGCGACCAGGTCCAGCCCCCACGCCCAGACTGCTCTCCCGCGCCCGGCCCCCCCGCGCCTCAGCGCCACTCCGCCGACCCTGGCAGGTCCCGCGCTCCCCGACACCTCGAGTCCTCCTTCTCCGTCGAGGCCATCCTGGCGAGGCCCGAGCCCCGCGCGCCCGCCGCCTCCCTGCTGTCCTTCTCCGCCTGCGCCGCTTCGAGCATCTGGTCGGCTCCGTCCGGGTCTCCGGCCCCGGTTCTGCCCTGGGCGTGCCCGGCTACATTGCTGCCCGCCTACCTGAGCGTGGGGCTCTACCAGCCCTTCCCCCAGCCCCCTGCGCTGGGGCTGCGCGTGGCTCACCTCTGCGGCCTCCAGGGCTTCGGCGTCACAGGTATGAGGTGCGCTGGCGCCCGCGTCCAGGGAAGCAGACGGGGTAGCTGAAGAGTGGAGGCCACGACAGTGGGCACAGAATAGAGGAGAAGTTCCTGAGTTTGAGAACCACACATGGGTTCTGAAGTGGGAGAATGTGTGTGAGGGTGGGTGCAGAGCGAGAGGTGAGGGTGGGCCAGAGCAGGACTCCGGAGGCCACCAAGGGCAGCTGGGGCTGCAGGGGACTCAGCCCGGCTCCTGCGCTCTGCGTCCTTGATGAGGGTTTTTAGTCCTTTGCTCCCTCCCACATCCCTCCGGATAAAGCTTGCTGGAGCAGACTATTCCCCAAAGCAACTCTCATAGTAAACCCACGGCCCTGTCTTAGCGGGAAGAAGCAGATGCTACAGGTGGTGCTGTTCAACGGACAGCTGCTCGGAGCTGGTCATCCCCACACCCCACTGCTCTGGTCTGTGTGAACTTATCTCCACACTGAATCTCTCTGAGCCTGCCTGCTTGCTTATAGTGCTCTTAGAATGGTACCTTAGGGCTCTGGAGTGCAGACACTGAAATCCCTACAAGAATTTCACTATGGAGGTAACTTTCTCCTCTAGCATTAGCATCCACCTGTAAGAGTTTTTACTATTTTTGGCTCTCTGGTTTATGCTTCCTCATCTCTCCTTCAGGAAAACCAGCAAAGTTAGTGCAAGCCTTACCAATCCATACCAAAATTGTTGTAACACAATCTTACCTGGTTTCTACTCCCTGAACTTCCCCCAGCTTGTGCTTCCTCAACCCCTTCCAGCTGGGCATGTCTCCCACCCATGTTGGAGAGAAACCCTGGGTTCCCCAAACCCATCCAAATTCATGCCACTGCAGCTGGCAGCCATGCCCATCACACCAAGCCATGTTTTTCTAACCTCCCCACACACTTGAGATCTGAATTGCAGTTAACTACTTGATATTAAAGTTGTTTCATTTTGCCCTAGCCAGTTTGGCTCAGCGGTTAGAGCATTGGCCTTTGGTCTGAGAGACCCGGGTTTGGTTCCTGCTAAGGGCATGCTGGGCCCAGTGGTGGGTGTCAGTTGCAGTCTGCCCCCCGCCTGGTTGGGTGGTGCGGGTGGCAGCCACGCGATGTGTCCCTTTCACATCAATGTTTCTCTCTCTCTCTCTCTCTCTCTCTCCCTCTCCTCCCTCCCACTCTATCTGAACAAAAAATGGAAAAATGTCCTCGGGTGAGGATAAAAAAATAAAATAAAGTTGTCTCATTTTCAAGTTAGTTCTTGCATAGGTATTAATATTCACACAGTCCATATGTCAAATGTTTACTAAGATAGAGGGAGAAATGTCTTCTACCACTAGGTGGCTGACCTCCAACAACGTAGTTATTACCCCCATCCCACAAGCAACCAATGACACCAGTTCCTTTATTCTTCCAGTGTTTTATACATATTTAATACCTGAATACGCACATATATGTTTCCCCCCATACCAGACACACTGCTCTGCACCTTACTTTTTTCACTTGACCATACAGCTTGGAGATTTTTCTGTATCAAATCCACATAGAGCTTTATACCTGAGTGGTTCATTATAAAGATGTACTATAATTTATTTAATCAGGCCCCACTGATTCTTTCTCATCTCTTGCTATTATGCTTATGCTTATGGTAAGCCTGTTGGGTCCAGTGGTGGGTGTCCTGGCAGCCATGGTCCTGGCCTCCCTCCCTTCACTGGAGCAGTTTGTCTGCCAGCCCTGGAGCCTCCCCAAGGCTAATGGGAGCTGAGGGGTCTTAGCACTGCACTCCCATTCCGTCTGAAACACTCCCATCCCAGATGGCCCAATGGCTCACTTTCTCATTCCTTTCGAGTTATAACCCAGGTACTGTCCCCTGGTGGATGAATCTTCATCTCCACTGGCCCACACCTCAGTGAGCTGAATAGTACCTTTGTGTGAATCAGAAAAAGTCGCCCCTTCCTTCAGGCAGACACAGCACCTTGTCAGGGGGCAACAACTGGCCTGAGGAGAGTGGGCAGGATTCCAGACTCCACTTACTCTCTCTCTCTCAGCTGGGTACCCATGTGCAGGGCACAAGCTGTACACTGTGGCCCTGTTCAAATGTCACCTTAGTGAGGTGGTACCCTTTCTAAAACTGCAAATTATAGCCCCCCCAAAATACACATACGCTCACCCTGCCCTTCCCTGCTTTATTCTTCTCACTAGCACTAATCATTGTCTGACACATGCAATATTTTCTTTACCTTTTCTACTGTTATACAGATTTTCTGCTTTGTCCTGGAACCATGCCTGACACATAGTACACATTCAAAAGGGTTTTTATTTTGTTGTTTTTTTGATCCTCACCTGAGGATATTTTCCCATTGATTTTTAGAGAGAGTGGAAGGGAGGGAGGGAGGGAGGGAGAGAGAAACATTGATGTGAGAGAGACACACGATCCAAACCTACAACCCAGGTATGTGCCCTTGACTGGAATCAAACCAAAATCCATCCACAGGCTGATGCTCTAACCACTGAGCAACTGGCCAGGGCCAAAAAAAGTTTTTAATGAATGAAAAAGGGGAACCCTTGAGGGTCCCTTCTCTGCCCATCATGTGGGGGTTTCTGAAGTAGCCAAGGAAAGGAGTGGAGAGCAAGGAGAGATGGAGGTTTGGCAACTCCTCTTAGGGCCAGAGGTTAAGCCACTCAGCTGGAGAGTAGTGGAGGCAAGAGTCTCACAATATTGTCCCCTCTGTCTCACTTGATTTCAATTATTTCTGTGCAGTCTCTTCCCACTATGCCTCTTGCTGTGTTACCTGGCCAAGGGCAAGGCAGGCCAGTGGAGCTGTGAGCTTATTCTCTCTTCTCCAAGATGGGGGGGGGGAGTAAGTGGGTGCTGGCTAACCTCCCCTCCTTCTGGTTGCTCTTTAGGTTTAGAGCTGGCTCACTGCCCAGGCCTCCGGAGTCCCCCAGACTGGGCCCCAGCCAAGGACCTTCAGGACCCTGAGAGACCCCAAAAGCGGGTTCGAACTATGTTTAACTTGGAGCAGCTGGAAGAGTTGGAGAAAGTGTTTGCAAAACAGCACAATCTAGTAGGGAAGAACAGAGCCCAGCTGGCAGCCCAGCTCAACCTTACAGAGAACCAGGTAGGAACAGGGAACTCCTGTGGTGCCTGGGCCAAACCTGGGGATAGACACTACTCTCCAGAAGGCCCTGGGTGGTGGTTGGAAGACATGGGCTTTCTTCCTCTGTGTCAGGCAGTTGGGGAAGACAGGCCTGATTATTGGTATACTGCCTGTATGAATGAGAAAAACAGTCCCACTTGTAATTACATTATGAGAGCCAGGGAGGTATGGCTCAGTGGACTCAGCATCACCCCATGGACTGAGAGGCCCCAGTTCAATTCCTGGTCAGGACACATGCCCAGGTTGCGGGCTCGATCCCCAGCAGGGGGCGTGCAGGAGGCAGCCAATGGATGTCTCTCTCTCACATGGATGTTTCCATCTCTCCCTCCCTTCCTCTCTCTCTACAAACAAATCAATAAAAACATTTTTAAAAAAAGAAATTACATTATGGGAGCACATACGATTAATCTAGATATTAATCTAGAACTTTATATTTTCATGCTAAATAAGGAGCTGACAGTGAAATTAAGTAGCTATTCAAAGAGCTAAATATTAAAAATAATAAACATTCCCTTGACCCCCATACTCCCAACTACTGCACCACTGCTTTGCTCTTTTCACAGACTAACTTCTCAAAAACTGGCTATGTTCACTGTCTCCATGTCCTCACTTCCCACCTCCTCCTTAACCCGTTCCAACATGAATCTCCCCACCATACCTTCGAAACTTTTCATCAGGGTCTCTCATGACCCGTGTTGCCAAAGTCAACAGGTGCTTGCTTTCCTTTCTTATCTTACTCCACCACTCAGTACTGACTGCTCCTTTTCTTACTGAAACACACTCTTCTCTTGCTTTTCAGATGGTGTCTCTTGGTTTTCCTCTCAGCTCTCGGCCCACTTCTTCTCTTGTTGCCTTTGTAGGTTATTCTTCTCTTTGTGACTTCAAATTTTTCTCCTCAGCTTATGTCATTATTTCCCATTGTTTGAAATACCATCTATAAGCCAATGACTCCTAAATTTTTATCTTAGCCCCCCCCCTTTTCTTACTTGTACATCTAACTCCTTTCTTGAGGTCTCCACTTGAATGTCTTATGGGTAGGCACTTCAAACTTAACAAGTCTAAACCTCAGTTCTTGGCTTTTTCCTCTCCCCATATCTGTGCCTTTCCCAACAATGGCCCCATCATCCATCCAACTGCTTACAGTACCTGGTCGTCCTAGATGTCCCCTTCTCTCCCACTACCGACCCGTCAGCAAGCCTTGTCACCGCCACCTCCAAAACACAGCTGGAATCACTTTGCTTCTCTCTGTGGCCCCAGTCCATATCAGCCCCAGCTCTTGCTGGGTCACTGCAAGAACCACCCTGCTCTCCCTGCATCTCCTGGCATCCATTCATCCCAAAGCAGCCAGATGTGCCATGTAATCAGGACAATGTCACATTCCACTTAAAAGCCTTGAAGGTGACACTCCTTGCCCTTGGCCTTCAAGGTCCTGGTTGTCTGTCCCCTGCTGACCACTTCCACTTTCTCTGCCTTCACTTTCCCCTCTCACTCTCAGCTGTGCCAGTGATGCTCTCCTCCTTTCTGGTCCTCACATACTCCAAGCTTGGTTCTGCCTCAGAGCCTTCCTACAGGCCATACCTGCTCTGGCCTGCTTTTCTCTGTCCCCACCAGGCCAGCCTCTCATCCTCTGAGCCTTGATTTTTTTTCTTTATTAATCCTTCACCCTAGGATATTTTTCCACTTATCTTCAGATAGAGTGGCAGGGAGGGAAGGGGGGAGAGAGAGAGAGAGAGAGAGAGAGAGAGAGAGAGAGAGAGAGAGAGAGAGAAACATAGATGTGAGAGAGACACATCGACTAGTTGCCTCCCGCACAACTCCAACCAGGGCCAGGGACTGAACCACAACCAAGGTACGTGCCCTTGACTGGAATCAAACCCATGACTCTTTGGTCTGCGGGCCAATGCTCTGACTGCTGAGCCAAACTAGCCAGGGCTCTGAGCCTTGATTTAAATGCTGGATCCTCAGAGAGATTCAAACCCCTGTTTGTACCCCCATTTGTGTGTATCTGTTTGTTTGTTTTCATGCTTGTTATTAGTCTCTCTCCACTGGACTATGAGCTTCATGAGGGCAAGGATCATGCCTCTGTTGCTCACCACTGTATCACCATCACCTAGGGTAGTGCCTAGTATATAATAGGAGCTCAATAAATACTTGTTGGATGAATGGATGAATGAATGGCAACTGGAATTATAGGGAAGGATGTTTTGGAGGAAATGCTTACCTTAGAAGGAAGAGCAAATTTTGACCAGAGTGGAGTGGATACTGTGGGAATGGGGAAGAAGTGGGAACTGCTCGTCACATTCTGATCTCTGCCCTTGGCCTCCAATTATAGGTGAGGGTCTGGTTCCAGAACCGCAGGGTCAAGTATCAGAAGCAGCAAAGGCTGAAACCACCAGCTGCATCGGCCATGGCTGCCTCCTCGGATGAGCCCTCCAGCAGCTCTGACACCATCATCCAGAGAGAAGTCTCCAAGTCAGGAACAGACAGCTGAGGACTGGGATAGAGGCTCAACCCAGGCTATCTGGGCTAGCTCTTCCTGGGGACACCCACTGGACCTCCCTGCCCCATATCTTAACAAAGAGCCTCATCGAGGTCACAGAGCACCAGAGAAATCTGAACTGTTGAGAACTTTTCAATATTGACTCCTGGGAGCTACAATAATGTAATAGTCAGGGCATAGACTTTGGCCTTCAGCTGTTTCCTTGGCTGAACTTCTGAGCCTTTTACCTTCACCTGTATAATGGGTGTGCTGATAACTTGGACCTCCCAGGGCTAAGATGATTTCTGTACAGCACTTCCAGGGTGCCAGGCCCAGTGCTAAGAGTGTGGCAACTGTTAAGGCTTACAGACCCCCTTCACCTGGGGGAGTGGTGCCCATACCAGCCCTGGCTTCTCCAGAGACTAATCTTTTCCTGGCCTGGCTGTGGAGAGAGGACCTCCCTGAATCAATGTCTGGGCACAAAAGACTCTTCACCAACAGAAATGGTAGAGTTGACAGCAAAAAAATAAAAAAGAGGGAAAGGGAGACCATTAGTCCACTTCCCCTCACAGGGTTCCCCAAAGTTTTCTTGTTTTGTCTGAACTGTTAACCACTCCCAGGAGCTCAGGCTCAGCTGCCTCCTTGAAGCAGACATGCTACCCTGACCACCATCTTTCTCTCCAGCTACCCACCTGGACGCTCACTCCTCCCCATCTTTATATAGAGAAGAGAAATTTGACTCTGCCTTTGCCAAGGCTGGCATTTTATCATAAAGTTTGCTGAATTTTCATAAGACAGTTATTATTTCTCTCTCTTCACTACCCTGCTTCATGGTTCCCTTTCCTTCCCAGGAATCTGCTTGGTTTATCTCTAAGAAGCCTACCTCAGTGAGGACGGCCACCAGCATTTCCAGAGTTGTTTTCTCCTCTGTGCTCCACATTCCTGAGTAGTCATCTGTTGAGGGTCTTTCTTTAGAAACTGGAGTGACTTCTGGGTGCTGAGGTGAGCTGGTGGTAGGAGGCCTGCCCTGCCACCTGGTGGTGAAAGAGGACATGGTCCCTGCTGCACTCTCGAGTTTTCTGAGAGAGGAAAGGCAGGGAGTAGAGTCAGCCTTGGAAAACCACCTGCTTCCCTAGTCTGCAGGCTTAAGGGAGGCCAAGGTCCAGCTCCAAGATCCTTCTCTGTACCTATCTTCAGGGAAATCCTTCCTAATGCTGGACCCAAAGTCAACTCTATTTATCAGAGAACCCAACTGAATCTCATCTGCCTCTTCCAGCATCAACTGGCCTACTTTTTTTTTTTTTAAATCAACAGTTAGTTACCTATTCAGCAGTTACTGGGCTCTACTCAATCCCCAAATGTCACCATGACACCAGAGCAGAAGCAGATACAGGTCCCTTTTCAAGAGTACAGAATCAATTAGAAGACAAGGAAACAAGGCATGGTGATCAGGCTTGGCTCTGGGGACACATGCTGTAGATCAGTGGTTTGCAGCTTTTTGGGGTTCTGAATGAGAAAATGGTTCCTCTTTTGTTTTCAGGACAAGGTGCATATGTACACTCACTCACTTCTGCATATAATTTTAGGGGACCTCAGACTTGAAGTCCACTGTGGGTACCTCTTTACTCCCACCCCTTGCCCTGGCTGCAAAGTCCCTAAGCCGCTGAAGAGTCAGAAACAGGCATAAGTCCAACTTGATCATTCGTAGGACTATCTGCCCCGCTGCCAGAGGGCCCAGGGAGAAGGGAAATCTTGTGCGAGACTTTGTGGAGTAAGGTAGGCCTTCCCTTCAGGTTGAGGGTCAGAGACGATGGGAGTAATTCTGCCCACTGCTGTCCTACCCCTCAGCTGGGTCCAAAGACTGCTGGTCAAGACGGGCCAGTGAATGGACAGAGGCAACAACAGACACACAAATCGGAACCCAGACATAGATGCACACATCAAAACCATACATACAGCACACCGGCTCCGGTACAGGCACATACTGAGACAGTACGTATCTGTACCTGTACCATCTGTCATGAAGACAGAGACGATGCAAAACTGCACAAATGTAAAAGCACAAAGGCAGGCCCAGCTCCACCCGGTCAACACACCAATGGACCTAAACACCGACCAAAAGGTCCCAGATTCGGATTGGCGACTGGTAGACCCTAGCAGCCAACAGGACACTCACGCCGGGGGCGGGGCCAGGAGGGGCGGGGTCTGTCGGTCGGCGTCAAGGGTCAGAAGGAGGAGGCGCGCCCAAGATGGCGGCCTCCATGTGCGACGTGTTCTCCTTCTGCGTGGGCGTGGCGGGCCGGGCCCGAGTCGCCGTGGAAGTCCGCTTCGTGAACAGCTCCAAGGTGAGGCTGGAGAAGACCCCACCCCATCTGGCCTTGGATACAGCCCCCTGGGACCCCATGGCCGGAGCCTAGAGGCTCCCACGCTGCGGCCCGGCCCCTGCTCTCGGCGGGTGGGCTCTCTGTCCCCACACACAGGCTTCCGGGTGGTCACGCGGTGTACCGGAGCCTTCGGCGTCTCCGTGCGCGCCCCTTTCCCGCGGAACCGGGCCAGCCCGCCGGCGGCCCTAATGCGGCTGCGTTAGGCGGGGCTGCGATGCCCCGGGCCTCCCGACCTAGCCCGGGGACATTGTTCATGGGCCCCGGGAGCGGAGGGCGGGGATGTGTTGAGCCGAGGGAACTGGGGTATAAAAAAGCGAGGGTCCTCAGGGAACTTTCTGAGTGAGATTGGGTGTGGGGTGAGGAAGGGCCTGGGAGTGCTAAGGAATTTGGACTGGAGCCTGAAGCCCGTGGGAGAATGAGAAGGATTTGAGCAGGAGAGTGATGTGTTTTTGTCGTTTTCTTTCTTTCTTTTTTTAAGTTCATTGTAGAAAAATTGAAAATGCGTGTATAGAGAGAAGGTAAAAGTCTCTTACAATCTTATTCTTGTGCAGATATGTGTATATTAAAATCACATTTTTCAAAACTGCTTTTTGATGAGCAGTAAATCTTTCTATGTCACTAAACCTAATTTCTGTGTATTCAATTTATTTCATGGGCCCTTATGTTGTATCTTATTTTTAATCCCTGAGTTCAGAGGTTTGGGAGTTTATTTTCTGAGCACATATCCTTTTGTTCTTTCCAGCACTGAGTATTTTCTTTCCTAGTTATCTGTGCTAATTGACATGTGTGAAATGGTATTGCTTTGTTCTCATTTACACGTTTACTTTGTTTACTAGAGGCCGAGCAGTTTACCCTGTGTAGGGGCTGTGTGTATCCTTAGTCCTTGCCCAAGATGTCAGCCTTCTAGTCATCTGTCTCCTGCTGTCAGCATCTTTGTACTGATCCAGATGCCCAACCCAACTTCCCATTGCCCTCTTTCTGCCCAAGGGACATCTGGAGCATTCCTCTCCTTCCATGGAAAGTCAACTCCCCTACATTCTTGGCTTCCTCAGCTGCTCACATCTCCAGCTCCATCCTAGTGCCTCTAGTACTCTTGATTGACTTACAATTTGATGGTATCTTAGTTCCATCATTCCTCGCATGCAGAAATTTTCACCTTTACCATCACTTAGCCCCATCTCTCAGTCCCCTTCTCCCTTCACTTCTAACTTCTCACTTCATTACTTCAGGCACTCTCCTTGCCTAATTGTCCTGTCCCAACTTCTATCGAAACCCCAGCTCTGGAAGAATGAGCTGGCTGCCCTCCCCATGACTACTGATCTGCTGCTGGAGAAAATCACATATCCACCCAGACATAGTGACAGGATGGATTATCGTGGGCTCTTTGCATCTATATTCATCAAATGAGATTGGTTTATGATTTGTATTTTGTGTAATTTCCTCAGTTTACCATATCATTTATGCTTGTTTTTTAGAAAAATGGAGAAGCTTTACACTTCTCTCTGTTATTGAATAGTTTGAATAGCATGAAAATTATTATCCTTTGGTTTGACAGAGCTGGCTCATAAAGCCATATAGACTAGGGGCCTCATATAGGGTAGTTTTGACCACTTTATTGCTTCTGTGGATACTGTCAGGAATGTTTTTTAAAAATTGACCAACTGTTATGCCAGGGACATGACTAATAACAACAGAAACATGAGCAAATACAGTGTTGCCAACCAGAATGCCATACTGGTGCACATCAGCCAGAAAACAGCACTGCTTATTAGTCTGTCTGGGCTTTCTTACTTTTAAATTCCGTTTTGGTAATTTATATATTTTTAAGAAATCATCCATTTAACAAAGATTTTTAAATTTACTACATAGTCTTAGAGTTTTGTACAATATTTTTTGCAAGCCTTATTTTTTAATTGGAAATCTATTTGCATAGTTTGTGTCCTTTCCATTCAGGTTCAGTTCCCTCCAAGCTTCTTAGAAATAAGAATTAGAACTGTTTTCTTGAAACACTTTGATATATTTTGGGGATCAGTGGTTTTACAGAGAAACAGCTCTGCTGCTTTTTACTTTGTTTTGATTATTAAATATCTTCTGCATTTGGTCCCTAAGATAGATAGATATTTATCTAATATTGAGATTTGAGATTGTCGGTGATAATATTCATATCTTTTTATCCCATAGCAGAAGACCAAGTTTTCATTTTGCTAGATTGGGTCCCAGGGGCCACAAGGCGTGGAGGTGGGGCTTCCAGGAAGACAAGCACAGTGCATCCACGGCTTTGCCCAGTAGTTTTGTTCCAGCGGCCCAACTCTGCTGTTAGAGCTCCCAGAGCTGTTCAGAGGGTTGTGATTTGAGGCTCATGGGTTGCTCAGGGCCTGTCCGAGTCTACTCTTCCTTGCTACTTTGACTTTGGGAGGTGCCCTGTCTAGCCAGAGCTCCAATGCTAGAATAAAACAGGGAGCTATCCAAGAAGCCACACGACAGAACATTTCACTGCTGTGCTGATCATTTTTCTCTCTCCCTTTTTGTGACAATTGGTGTTTGCGGGGCACCACCTCCTTCTCTAAGTGAACTGTGGGAGCAAATGCCTTGTGGGGCCAGTAACTTCCCTGGTTTCTAAAGCTGCCTCTGGCATCCCTTTGCACTTCTGAAAGATGGCATTTCAGCGATTGTTTTCTTATCCTTCATCCCTTCTGTGATGTGTACAGTCGTCCCTTGCCACTTCGCACTTTGACTTTTGTGGCCTCACTCTATCGTGGTTTAAATACTATACTATGTTGGGAAAAACCGCGATAGAGTGAAGCCGCGAAGGTCGAAGCGTGAAGTGGCAAGGGACGACTGTATATAAATAAAGAATCCTACTTTGCTGAAATTCATTTATCGCGGCAGAGTCTGGAACTGATTAACCGCGATAAACGAGGGCCGACTGTATGGTGCTTTAGACCACTACTTTTCAAACTTTAATATGCACGTGAATCACTTGGGCATCTTGTTAAAGTGCAGATTCTGATTCAGCAGTCTTGGGTGGAGCCTGAGATTCTGTATTTCTAACAGCCTCCCAGCTGATGCCCAGGCTGCCAGTCCATCCCCTCACTTAGAGTAGTAAGGAGCTATTAAACACTCACTTTTCATGTGGGAAACTGATACAAAGAAATGAAGCAATTGGCTGAAAGGTTCACAGCAAGTAAGCACTAGGATTGGTGCTAGGATTAGTCATTCTTTTCAGGGTAACCCCTGAGAAGTTGTTGGGTGCCAGGTGCTGCAAAGTAGAGTACATTTTTCCCCAAACCAGGCTTCCATCTCCCGTGGTGTAGGATTTCTGTGCAGCAGATAACTGCCCAGATCATGAAGGGGCATGTGGGTAACTCAGAGAAGACTACCCTGCTGTTACCCGATCTGGTACAGGAGGCCCCAGCCTTGGCCCTGCTCTAGCCATTCTAGAAATTCTCCTCTGGGTAGTCTGGATGGCTGACATCCCAGGCCCTCTTCTCTGAACACGCTGAAAGAAGTGCGACTGAAAGGAGGTCAGAGCTGCATTTTCCAAGTTACGGGGGTGCTGACCATGTTCCATAAACCCTCCAGAGGCAGACGCCTTTGCTGAGAGATAGCATTTGGGGGTGAGACTGGGTGGCCCTCCGGGAACCTTGAAACTATGCCCTCTGTCTCTTCTAATGGCCGTTCTGTTCATTCTCTGCCCTCTTAGGGAAAGGGGCTATTTGCCACACAGCTGATCCGGAAAGGGGAGACCATCTTTGTTGAACGGCCCCTGGTGGCTGCACAGTTTCTCTGGAATGCACTTCATCGCTACCGAGGTGAGTACATCTCTCCCATTCCTCATGGCTGCTGGGCCCAGCTGCCTTTGCACATGGGAGAGAGCTGCATATGTCCTTACTGGCGGACCTCTCTGGGATGTTAGAAGGAAAGGCTGTCTTCCCTTGGAGAAGCGCCCCTGAGAACCACACCTGTCTGATCTCAGGCTGTCTGGAGCTATGAGCCTGTAGGAGAGAGGCTCTTCCGAAGTGCTCCCTGGGGGAGGACTGTCACTCAGGTGAAATTCAAAACCTATCCCAATAATACAAGGGACTGAACATCATGCTGAAGGGCTCTGTGCCAAAGTGGAGCCCTCTACCCAGAGGAGGCCACATGCCTCTTGGTGAAAAAGGCTGCATTAGGGGTCAGAAGCCAGCCACATGCCCTACACTTTTCTTAGGCTAGAGACAAACTGTGGAAGGAGGGTCACTTTTTTCTAGAATGGGGGGAAGGGAGGGAAGCCCCACAGACTAAGTCCCTTTGAGAAGCAGGGTGAGTAAGACAGAAGGGGTGGGGACTCCAGAGAGGGAAAAGAGAATCATCTGCCTTTGAATGCATGTGAAATTCATTCATTCATTTCATTCTTAAACATATTCATTCACTCACTTTCTAAACCTTGTGAGCATCTACCGTGTGCACTATTCTAGCTCTGGGGATACTGCTGTGAAAAGGACAAATGTGGCCCCTGTTCTCAAAACACACAGTCATGTCTGGCTCTCTCTCTCAGCCTGTGACCACTGCCTGCGGGCACTGGAGAAGGCAGAGGAGAATGCCCAGAGGCTGACTGGGAAACTTGGCCAGTTGCTGCCTCACCCTGAGCTATGCACTGTGCGCAAGGACCTCCACCAGAACTGTCCCCACTGCCAGGTGAGTGTCCTTGGAGAGTGTACCTAAAAGGGACTGATGGGAGACACCTTAGCTGAAGTCCTCTCTGGGAAGTCAGGAACGAAGATGGACCTGATCATGGCCCATGAGAGCCACAGTGTAGGATAGGATAAGACATTGAAGAGCCGGAACAGTTTCGGCCTCCCTGTTCCAGTCCCATTGTCTAGAAAATAGCCTGGATGGGAGCTTGTCCTCTTCCGAAGATCTTGGCGGAGCTCTCCCCTTTACCTGCTAAGCTCTGTTACTTTCCCATGATTTTACAAGCCCGGGTTAGTAGGTGCCCCCTCGCATGCCCCCAGATCACTGTATGCTTTCTCATGTCACAGTACTGCTGAGCTACTGCTCAGGGGCTGTTTGTGGAAGGAATGCAGTTAGAGGAGGTGAGTGCAACATGAGACATATGTGCCTCACCCCATGGCCAGATCCTAGGGTGCTGATCTCTACCCCCTCCAACAGGTGATGTACTGCAGTGCAGAATGTAGGCTAGCAGCTGCAGAGCAATACCATCGGGTCCTGTGCCCAGGCCCCTCCCAGGATGACCCTCTGCATCCTCTCAATAAGCTGCAGGAGGCATGGAGGTAGGTGGCATTTCATCTTTTCTTTATCCCTTCCTCTCTGCCTACCTGGGCTCAACAGATACAGCCATTTTTCTTAAGTTAGCATCTCCCAGATTTCCCCCCACCCCCGTTCTTAGGATTAAATAGAGGTCATATCACCTAGCCCCCTGCCGTTAGTCTGAGCTGCCAGTCATACCATCCTTGGCATTTTACACACTCCCCAAAAGAGCCCTATTAAGCCTATAGGAATGTAAAGTCCTGTCCAAGTCCTTGCCAATGATTCTCTCTCTTTGGTTGTAAATGAGGTTGGTAGGAAGGAGTCTCTGTAGCAGTCAGACTAGACTTCCTTGAAATCAACTACTTGAGAGGGAATTTCTAGGCCAAACCTTTTTTTTTCTCCCCAGGAGTGTTCACTACCCCCCTGAGACTGCCAGCATCATGTTGATGGCCCGGATGGTGGCCACAGTGAAGCAGGTGAGCCCATGTGACCCTGGAAGGGAAGCAACTTTGGCCTCATTCAGCCCTTGGCCTCAGTCTCCTCCTTACCTCAAGACCCTGACTTGGATGCCGGGTTCCTCATGGTCTTTCCAAAGGACAGCTGCTTATTACGTAAATCTTAGGAGTCACTAACTATAAATCTGGCGGTGGGGGGGGAAGGGGAGCTCATCTTACCTATAGTCTTTGACCTCAGAGAGGACTTTTCTTGTGTAGCAGCAGTTCATGCATTCAATCCGTAAGCACTGCTTTAGGATTGTGTCTCTTACATAAAGTGAGAGAAGCCATGCTAACCCTTTCTATTAATATTGTTGCTCCTCAGTCACATTCTTCTGTTTTCCCAAGTGTTGTTTTGTTGCTAGATTGGTCCTAGTTGAGGAAATAGTGGGGGTGTAGAGGGTTGGGAGGAAGTCCCTAGTCAGGGGAAGAGTCTACCTAGAAGTTCAGATGTGATGGTGTTTCTCAAAGTCATAGATGAGTCCTCCCACATGGGCAACAGTGGCAGTAAGGATGCGGTGTCTGAGTCCATGTGCACGTGCATGCACAGGTGTGGGAATGTGACCTGAAGCATTTGTTCACTGCAGGCTAAGGATAAGGATCGTTGGATCAGGCTCTTCTCCCAGTTCTGTAATAAGACGGCCAACGAGGAAGAGGAAATTGTCCACAAACTCTTGGGGGATAAATTCAAGGTTGGTCTTCTCCCACGGCCCCTCCACCCCAATAGCCTGGAATATTCTGTTGCTTCCTTAGGGGAGCTCCACATTTGGTCCCTTCCTAGCAAAAACATGTATTCAGAAGACTTACATTCCTGCCACTATTGAACTTTGTGATCTAATGTGGACCTAAAATTGGGCAGTGGGGTGATGACAGAGGAAGGAGGGGTGCCCTGATATGGAAAAGAAGGACCTCATGATAGGATAGCAGTGGGCAGAACAGGTATAATGAAAAATGGAGGGTTGGGTTCCACAAGGTAAGGGAGTAGTATGAAACAAGAGAATTTTAGTTGCCAGTATACTGAGTACCCACTGCCAATCAAAGAAGCACAAATTCTCACTGAGGACAGCAGATTTCCACACAGGAGCTGCCTGAAGGTGGAGGCAGTTGTGTGAAAGGGCCTCTGGTGTGGGCCTTCCTGCACTAAATTCTGAGGAAAGGGTGGGGAGAGGCAGGCTGGTGTGAAGGCTAATTAGGGGAGCCCGGAGGTTGGTAGTGAGGACAGATGTTCTAAGCCAGGCTTCCTCAGCCCTGCTGTTATGAATGCTGGAAAATAGGGAGGGATTTGGGGTTTGCCAACTCTTGAGTTGAAGCAGGCCAGTGGACTGCCATGGCTCTTTGGAGATAAGGACTGTGGCCTTCCTTTGCCCCCGGGGAAACTCAGTCTACAGAGCTGGCCCTTTTCCTTCCCTCACAAGGTCTTCTGGGCCCTGCCTGGGTGCTGATGGGAAATCCTCAGGGATGCAAGCCTCTCCCTGTTTTTCCTAAACCAGGGCCAGCTGGAACTTCTGCAGAAACTCTTCACAGAGGCCCTTTATGAGGAAACACTCAGCCAGGTCAGTGTGAGGAGGGTGGGACCAGTTTCTTTCCCAGTCACTCGAGCTCTCTAGGAGCGTCTGGGTCAGCATTTTCTACTGGGACAGCTAAGCCAGAGCTGACTTGGTCTTCTGCAGTTGGGGTGGGACTGACTCACAGAGGCTTCCCGAACAGAGTTATATCAGGAAGAAAAGTGAGTAGCTGTAACTGAGTGCTCATCTTTCTTTCTCCCCACAGTGGTTCACTCCAGATGGATTCCGGTCTCTCTTTGCTCTTGTTGGGACCAATGGTCAAGGAATTGGGACCAGGTTAGGAGACAGTATTCCAGATATATTGGACTTATCCCTCAGGGCTTGGGTGGGAAATTGACTGAGGAATGTAGCCACAGCTCCTTTCAAGATTAGGGTGGGGCAGGGTGCCAAGTGCTAGACTGCACACAATGATGGGTGTCAGAAAGACAGCTGGTGGAGTCTGCTTCTCTTGGAAGCCTTGGTCTGTCGGGAAAGATGGGGACCCCACCCTGGAGAAAGAAAGGAGTTTAAGTTGCCCGGAGGTGGAGAGCCCTGTGAGCTGGGCCTCCTGCTCTCCAACCATGGCTCCCTGGGACCCCCAGCTCCCTGAGCCAGTGGGTCCATGCCTGTGACACTCTGGAGCTGAAGCCTCAGGACCGTGAGCAGCTGGATGCCTTCATTGACCAGCTGTACAAGGACATCGAGGCAGGTTGGTGAGATGGAAACACCTACCCACCCCATCCCCTAGTCAGATGGTGGACACAGTCTTCCTCCAAGGACCTCTGAGTTAATGGTGGGAGATATAATCCTGTGTGCCTGTGGGAAGCTTCTGATCTGTCCAAGGGACACGCAGATGAGAAGTGGGCCTGTGATCCATGCAGAGTCTCAGTGCTGGGGCTGGGGGAGTGCTGGGCAAATAGATTGCTATCGTTTATAGAAAAGTAAGGCCTATGCCTCAGGTGTAAGTTCATGTGAAATGGTAGGGATCGGGTGCGTTAGTGTGGTAGGTTGGGTGGCAGGGCAGTGAGGCAGTGCCTTTCCTTGTAAACCGAGTTTTATGTTCCCTATAAAATGGGTAGAATAACATCTGCATATTACTTCTTACAGCAACTGGCGAGTTTCTTAACTGTGAAGGATCAGGCCTCTTCGTGCTTCAGAGCTGTTGTGAGTCCTGGCATTGAGGAGGTGTGGCCTCGTAGTCACAGTTCATGTCTTTCAGTTCCCTCTTCTAGGCTAATGGAGTTGAGTCTGGGAATGGGGTCAGATCTGAGCTTTCTTGGAGATTTCTCTGTTTCATTTTGCTCCTTCAGTTTTTCAAGTTCTCTCCAGAGCTTGGGAGCAGCAGTGGCTAGTACCCCAAGTTCAGACTGCTGGTGCCTTAATATGTTTGTTTATAAAAACTTCCAGTGGGCCAGGCCTGTGCTCTGGCAGGGCAGTGAGCTCTGGTTCTCTCAAGGGAAACATGAGCACTGCCCTGTGAAATTTGGCAGGGAAGTGTCATGAGAGCCTAGGAGGCCCTCAGAATCCTGGGAGGAGGGAGCTCAGGCTAGCAGGCAGTCTTCACCTGGGGAGGGGTAGAGTCAGCTCAAACTATTGTCTGTTGTAGATCCCAGCCTCCCACCCTCTGGTTTCCTCACTAAAAATCCTCTTCCCAGGTTCCAGAGCCACTCTACCCTCCCAAACTAGGTTCTCAGAAGGCCTGGCTCAGCTGTTACCAGATGTCCAGCAGCAGACAGGATTGAGTTAGTGATCTGGCGTGGGCAGCCCTTTTTGCAGCCCTGTCCCTCCCTTTGTGAGACACTGTGAACACAACTGAGAGTCAAGGTGACCAGTGAGGAGGATGCAGGGGCAGACATGCATTTGCATCTGTGCTCTGTGGTCTTCAGGACAGAGCACTGGACAGGGAGTCAGGAAACTTGGAATGCTGGGACCTGTGTAGCCCTAGCTGGGATCAGAAAACAAGGATGGGACCTAGTGCTCTACAGAGTTGAGGCTGTTATTTTTATTAGTCAGTAATCCTCATTACCTGCCTCTCATGACCCAGGCAACCACAGCTGTGTCCCCAATGCAGAGACATCCTTCCCAGAAAACAACTTCCTTTTGCATGTCACCGCCCTGGAGGATATTAAGCCAGGAGAGGTGAGGGGGCCGGGAGCTGTAGGAAGCATGGAGGGTGGCAGTAGGTCTTGCAAGTTCTCTCCAGAGATTGGGAGCAACAGTGGCTAGGACCCCAAGTTCAGACTGGAGTTGAATCCCCTAAGCACCAGGGAATGAGCCTTTCTGCCCATGGATATAACCCACCCACTTCAAAAAATAACTCCAGAAAGCCTCAGAGCAGTGTTTGAGAGACAGCTGTGTGCCAAGTTCTTGTCCCCAGCCACCTTGTGATTAACAAATCTGCAGCTTCTAAGAAAGCAGGAGATGGCTCTTTGTGGCTTTGACTGTAGGGAACTAGTGTGGGTTTGGGGTCCTGGTTGGTGCAGCACGTAGTCTGGTTGAATCTTCTTCCAGGGCAAGTAGCATTGCACCAAGATAACCTCTGAACCTGGCCATTGACCTTGGCCCTTAATGCCTTTAACCATGGCCTGAGACTAACTGCAGTCCCCTCTCTCCCTCAGATGTAGGTTGTTAGAGCCTCCTAGTGACCTGCTTGCTGAGGGCACAGGGCAATGGATCAGGGCAGGCCACCCCTTTGCTGAAGGGCAGCTCAGGCCCTTGGGGATGCAGCAGAAGTTGGGGATGGGGTAGTGTTTGGGGAGTGCCTAATCCCGTCTAATAGAGAGCACAGACTGTCAGACCCCACTTCTATTCTGCCCTCCAGGAAATCTGCATCAGCTACTTAGACTGCTGTCAGCGGGAGCGCAGCCGCCACAGCCGCCACAAGATCCTCAGGTGCTGCTGGGGATGTGGTGGGCGGCTGGGCTTGGGTCCTCTATCCCAATGGCTACCTGATTTTTCACCCTCACCATCCCCCTATCCTCTGCAGGGAGAACTATCTGTTTGTTTGTTCCTGCCCCAAATGCCTGGCAGAAGCTGATGAACCCAATGTAACCTCTGAAGAGGAAGACGAAGAGGAGGAGGAGGAAGGAGAGGCAGAAGATGCGGAGCTGGGGGATGAGATGACTGATGTATGATGTCACCCTGCCTGGAAGGGGCCCTACCCCAGACTCTGCCAGAAAAGGGGGCCTTCCCCAGAGAAGAGGCTTAGAAGGAACTCCCCACTCCCGTTGCCTGCTTCCCCCATTCCAGCTGTTTCTGTCAGAGTAGGACAGAGGCTGGACCCTAGACCCTCCACTCTCCAGCAGACCTCATGCCCTGGACACTGCTGCTGAGTGGCTCGGTTCTGCGTTGTCACTGAGCCTTTCAGAATTGGTCCCGAAAAATACTCCACTCCAGAATGTGAGCAGCTGGAACCAAAGTCAGGGCCTAACAGTATTTCTTCCCCTTGGCTGTGCCTACCCATCAATCTGAGGCTTCACCCCTCTCTACTTGCTGTGGAGGGGGGAACAAAGTGGCAGTCTGAGAACAGCCTTACTTTATTGAAGAAGAAAGAAGAGGGGGTGAGTTGCCCTCACCTCCTTCCCTCCCTCCCCACACTGTAGCTGATAAGGCAACTGCCTGGCTACCAGCACAGCTGAGTGAGGCAGGAAGAACTGGGCCTCCAGGGCACTCTCCCCACTCTCTCTCCCAGGAACACTGAACTAGGGGGAACTACCTCCCTGTCCCTACATCCCCACTCCCACCACTTGGACATCGCGGGGAGTGGAGAGTAACCCCTTCCACAAACTCTAGAATCTCTATCCTGTGCCTTGCCCCTCTAGCCCTGGCACAGTCGCTGGCCCCATAGGGTATGGAAAAGACTTCTGCCTCCCTCAGGAGGGGCGTGTGGGGGGGATCACTCCTTCCTCATACTCTCTTCCCATTGAGGACTCTAGCAGCATGGCTGAGACCGGGGTTGTAACAGGCCTGTGCTCTTTAGGATGCTCTAGAGACTTCCCTGGGACTAGTTGAACATGGATCAGTGAGGGGCTCTCCTAGCCTCAGTCTCCATCTTTAAGGTCTCCACGGAGGAACACTGAAGTCTTCCAGAAATGTAGAGGAACTGGGCTAGATACTTGGAGATTAGCCCTGACTGCATCCCCCTATCCCCAAATTAGCACTACCCCTCACTCTTGGGTTGGGTGCTGTGGGAATTATAACTCATCACTCACAATCCCTTTCTGCCTACCTTCCTAAGGGGTCTTCCATATCCCCCTGCTAAGGGATCCCAGGAAGGCAGGTGCCTGCCCACAGGTCCTTCCCTGGATTATGAGCCAGGTGGAGCCTGCCTGCCTGGCCTATTTGGGTTCTTGCTCCTTCACAGCAGCCAGCATCCCCTCCCACCCCTGCCTGCCCACTGTCCTCAATAAAATGTGAGTGGTGACAGGCCTCTGAAAGAATGCTTGGTGGAGAATGACTTGACAAGCTGCTGGAGCACGCAGCAGTTGTGTGGGTGGTGAAAAGGTGCAAAGGGTAGACCAGGTAACAGCAGGAGGCAGGCACTATAGCTCCTCAGTTTGGGTTCATCTGGTCTCATCTACACTCTGTTGTGCTAATGTTCTAAAGCCCCAGAGCAAGGATCCTCCATGGTCAAGTATGGATCCCCAGCACCAGGGAGCAAGATGAGCCTCCTCACCAAGGGACTATGGCTCCCGAGATATTAAGCAGGAGGCTGTGTTGGGATCCAAGATTAGCAGCCTTGGCAATGGTCCTAAAGAGCCTTGGACAAGTCATTTATCCTCTCTGGGCCTCAATTTCCTCCCCTTAGTACAAGGGTGTAGGATCAGATGAGTGACTTTGAAGGCCCCTCCTGCCCATGTGCTCTTATTCTAGGACACAGTTGCAACCCTGATGAAAAGCTTTATTGCTAAAAAGTCAGTGAGGGTTTATTAAGTCTTCAAACACCAGCTCCTTAAACCACCCCAGCAACTGCTGTGAAGGACACTATGAGGAGACCCTGGGCAGGGGAGGCTGGAGCCAGGTGGGTTGTGACAGGTCACAGATGGCTCTCAGGCCACCTGCCTTTAGCTTCTTTTGTTCCAGATTCTAGCCAAGAAGCCCTGGGGCATGGGTCTTGCATCTTCCCATAGCTTGAGACACCCTTGGGGGCCCTGGGGAAGGGAGAACAATGGCATGGCTTCCCTTAGCCTAGCCAAGGCCCAGCCCTTCTTCCTCTACCTGTCCCCAAATGCTATCTCCAAGTCCCAAACAGCAGGATTCCTGGATTTCCCCTTCCCAGCCTAGAGTTGCTTATGGCTGGAAGGTGGGACCAACTCTTCTACCAGAAGGTCCAGGGCGGTTGCAGCAGCTCAAAGGTGGGGATGCTGGTGACATTGACTGGGATGGAAATGATGGCCCATGGCAGCCCATGCTGTTCCAGGGAGCGGCGGATCATGTAGCTGAGAGGGCATGAAGAGAGGTGGTGATGGTCACTTCCTCAGCACCCCATCATGCCCCACTGTCCCCATCACGCTGGGAGTTCCAGAGCCCAAGGACTTTTTTGGCCCTCCAGCTGGGGCACCCCAAGATGAGGCTTATGGGAAGGGACTGGTGATTGCCCTTGACCTCCCCGAGTCACGGCACCCAGCCTGGTGCTGACACAGCCAGGGACAGGGAGCCCTCACCCATCTCGGCCGAGCAGGAAGAGGGCAGGGATGTCAGCTGTGCGCTGGGTACTGTCCTGGATCATCTCCACGTAGAAGCTGTCATTGTCAACTGCGTTGTCAGAGATGATCACTGCCCGCCCACCGTGCTCTTGCACCACCCGGGTCTTTGAGAGGAAGGAGCAGCCCCTGGAAGAGGTGATGATGAGATCAAAGGAATGGCAGGGTCTTAGCTACCCCTCCCTCAGGCTGGCACCCTAGGAGGATGACAGAAGGAACATGGATAATTTTTTATAAAGGCTCACAAATGGCCAAAAGCCATGGATAGTCTTAAAATGATTAATTATTTAAAAACTAGTTCAGAGGCCCACCACCACCATTGATCTTCGAATCTACCCTATTCCTGCCCTCCCCTTGTGCCTGTGCCTGTCTGCTCCTCACCCCCTCTCCACCAGAGCAATCTGGTCCTGAATGAAGAAACCGTTGCTGAGTTCTCCACAGGCCTCTGAAGGTTCCGCGGGGACAAGGTGAATCTGTTCATACCTTGTGTGCTGAAAGACATTGAGACAGGTCAGTGTGAAACGCACCTGCTTTAGGACAGGGCTGACATCCCATCCTACCTGCTCCTCACAAAGTGTGAAGGAAAGGTATGGAGTAGTTTTTGTGTGCTGGACACTTAATTCTCATGAAGGCTTGTCTACTTGTTCTACCCCTTTCCACAAGATAGGGAGGGGCATTGGTATGGACCCAGAGGGAGGAAGTAACTTGCCTTAAGTCACATCATTGAGAGGTCGAACTAGCAGGGCCTTTGGTTTTTCACTGTTTTCATGTTCCCAAAGACAACTGGTCCCTCCATGGTACCCAGGTCTGTATTATGCCCAGGGAAGTAACTGGAAGCCCTTCTTTCCTGCATTGCAGCCCCTGGAGGGCCAAACTGGATTCTGCTCCCTTCCCTGTCCCAGCACTCAGGTATTGAAGGGAGGAGAGGAGTCACTTCAGCTTAGTGGGGAGAAGATGGTGACAGGATCAGAGAGAAGGGGCCCTCCCTGAACTTACAAAGATACCACCAAAGTCCTTTGCAGGTGTAGCTGTGAAAATGTATCGAATATCTCCAGGACTCAGCACTTGGAAGTACAAATAATCATGAATGCGTAAGCCTGGAAAAGAAAGAATACAGGTGAGGCCCTGGCCAGTTTGGCTCAGCAGTTAGAGCGTTGGCCCACAGACCAAAGAGTCGTGGGTTCAATTCCACTCAAGGGCATGTACCTTGGTTGCAGTTCGTTCCTGGCCCTGGTTGGGATCGTACAGGAGGCAACCACTCAATGTGTCCCTCTCATGTCAATGTTTCTCCCTCCCTCCCTCCCTCTTACTCTATCTGAAGATAAATAGAAAAATATCCTTGGGTGAGGATTAAAAAATAAAAAAATACAGGTGAGAAGTCTCCATAGACCCTGTGTCTACAACTAGGCTGTCTCTACTCTGGGCCCAAGGACCCATTTCAGCTAAGTGAGTCCTCCAGATGGGTGGGATAGATGGTCCCTGCCCTGGGGAGGATAGAGTTGATACAGAGTTAGTAAGCCCTGAGACGTTTAGCTGCTGCTGCTTACAAAGGTGAGCCAGGAAGACAGAGCTCTAGTGTTATCTCTCTGAGGGTTAATCCATCTTAGTTCTAATGTTATCTCTCTGAGAATTCATCTATTTTTGTTCTGAAGTGGACCTGAGAGTTTCAAGTTGGAGATGTGGTAGTCTGGGTTAAAACAATCCTCACTAAAAGTTGACTCTCTGGTCCCACTGCTAACCTAGTCCACCACTATCATTTCTTGCCCTGGCTGGTCTATCATATTCCATCTTTCTAAGGTCCATTCCTCAAACAACAGCCAAGGATCTTAAAACATCTTAGAGCAAATATGATCATGTCACCATTCCCATGGCTTCAATACCCATCAACAGCTTCCCTTTACACTTAAAATCTAAACTTTTAACTACGGCCTACAAGGTCCTGCTCTATCTACCCCTTGGCTGCTACTCCAACCTTATCTCCCTCTGTTCAAGCTACACTGGACTCCTTTCAGTTTCTTCACTTCTCTGAGTTTCTTACCAGCTGTTCTCTCTCTCTGGGAGGCTTCCTACCCTCACCTCAGCCCACCTCTTCCCCTTTACCTGGCTTACTCCTACTCATCTGTTAGGTCATAACTTAAATATCACTTTCTCAGAGAAACCTGCCCTATGACTGCTGTCCCTTTATGCCCATTCAAAATGTACTTTTTCTTCATTGACACTTTCAACATAATTTGTAATTATAGAGTATTCATAATTTTTTGTTTAATGTCTATCTCCCTCACTAGGGCAAGGACCGTAAGTTTGTAGCGTCATTCAATGCTGTATCCACATTGCCTAACATAGTGGCTAGGATATATAGTGAGTGCACAATAAGGGTTGTTGAATGAATAACTATTTCCAGCTCCACTGCACTAAGGAAGAGAATAGCCAGAACCAGATTTTTTTGGGGTGTGGAACTTCTCTTCAGTACCAAAGTGTAAATGTTTCACCTAGACTTGAGTCTCTGGTTTCCTTAGCCCAGAGAGACTGAGGAATGTGGGAGGGTGAGAGCTGCTGCCATTAATCAATCAACAAACCACTACTTGCCAGGGTTGGACTGATTGTGGCTTTGTCTACTGCTCAAATCATAGCCACCAGGTAGAGCTCCACTGCCTTACCACTGGGCTATGCGTCTTTTATCCTGGGAGTAAGGACTTACCATCAGATAGATACACTCTCAGGAAGCCTTCCTGGATTAGCACTAAACTCTCCCCCTGACCCCCAACACACACACACACACACACACACACACATGTTTGCCTGGCCTTTGCATGGGCTGATCTGTGTAAATTAAGAGTGGTATACGTATGTGTGTGGCTGTATATGTTTCTGTGCTCATGTAGGTGCAAACACGTCTGCGTACATCTGTGCTTGTGTGTGAGCCCACGTGTAGGATTGTGTGTTCCCACATGTAGGAATTTTTGTTCCCATATATGCTCCCATATCACTAGTATGTAGGATCTCTAGTGGTCCCTGTTCCTCTTCTTGGTCGCCCCCTCAGCCACGGGTTTGCATTAGTGGGAGTAAGGGAACGTCTTGCTTCGATGTAGGGAGATGAGCTTCAGAACCCAGCCTCAGGCCGCAGCCAACTTAAGTTCCTAAGGACCAGCACCCACCCACTCCAGCCGCCCGAACTCTCCAGGTCCCCAAGGTGACCCGTGGCCCCCGGCCGGAGCCGTGCACAAGCTGGACGACCCGCCCCACAGCACAGCCCCGCCCGCTGCCGCTCACCGTGGGCCGCGACGCACGCGGGGAGCCAGAGCACGAGACACCACCAGCCCGCGGCGCCGAGGACCATCTCCAGGGCCCGGCCGGGCGCCGCGATCCCTTCAGCCTCCCCGCCGCGCGTTGCTCGCCGGACTTCAGCCTGACAGCTGCTCCGGCCTCCCGCCCCCAGATCCGCTCTCGCCACTGATTGGTGAATGGGAACGAGGCCTACGGCTGATTGGCTCTGATGCCTGCTCATGTAGCCACACTTTCCGCCTCTGCGCCTTAGCCCACTTCCTACTGGTCAAGGGAAGTGGAGCCGATGGCTGATTGGTCTAAACTCTTAACGGCGACTGCCGGCCCCCACCTCAACTCAGCCCCAGCGCTTCTCAGTTTAGATTGGACTGTCCAGGACCTCGCGGACTGCTGGGTGGGCTGGCTGGGT